TTTCCCTGGGTTTTTCAGATGTGGCCAGATCTTATTCAGAAGGCAAAAGAAGGTGGTGTTGATGTGATTCAGACTTATGTTTTCTGGAATGGGCATGAGCCTGAACCTGGGAAGGTTAGTGGTTTTTTTTCTTTTTTTCCTATTTTAATGAAATACTATGTACCTATGAACTATAGTTTGCTTGTAATCAGTACATACATTGCTTGCCAAGTGACTGGAGTTTTATTCCTTTTTTATTTCCTTTTTTTTTCATTATGCAGTATTATTTTGAGGAGAGGTATGATTTGGTGAAGTTTATTAAGCTAGTAAAGCAAGCAGGACTTTATGCCCATCTCAGAATTGGTCCCTATGCTTGTGCTGAATGGAATTTTGGGTAATAATACGAGAACATGAAGATTTTTTTCTCTTAAGAGCATATTTTGTTGAGACTTTGAAAAAAATCAGGATTTTAATTAAAATTTTCTGCTGCAGGGGTTTTCCAGTTTGGCTGAAATATGTTCCTGGTATAAGTTTCAGGACAGATAACGGGCCTTTTAAGGTAAAAAAAATGCCTATGATCTTGTGGCATGTGCATTTATAACCTCTTAAGAGATTGCCTATTCCTTGAGACTAATTGGTTTCTTGTGTTTTGCTGCAATCTCTTGGTGTTTGAAATGTTTCACAAAAAAATAAGGCTGCTATGCAAAAATTCACAACCAAGATTGTGAATATGATGAAAGCTGAAAGACTGTATGAAACTCAAGGTGGTCCAATCATACTATCTCAGGTATAAAAAATTCTTCCTCTCCTTTTTTCTCGACAATCATACCTCTGTTTGAAAAAAGAAAAAAAAAAAACCAAATAAACAAATAAATATATTTTGTTTTCTTGTAACAGATTGAGAATGAATATGGACCAATGGAGTATGAGCTCGGTGCACCTGGCCGAGCTTATACAGAATGGGCTGCGAAAATGGCAGTCGGTCTTGGCACTGGTGTACCGTGGGTCATGTGCAAGCAAGATGATGCTCCTGATCCAATTGTAAGTAATAACTTGTTTTTAAGTTTTAATTTATTTTAATTGAATCTGGGAATGGTTTGCATGTCTACTTCACTTGTCCAGTAATGAGTTAATTTTTATTTATCTGATATCTATGGTGATTAACTATTTCAATGATGCCCCTGATCCAATTGTAAGTAATAATTTGTTTTAAATTTTAATTTATTTTACTTGAATCTGGGAATGGTTTGCATGTCTACTTCACTTGTCCAGTAATGAGTTAACTTTTATTTATTTGATATCTATGGTGATTTAACTATTTTAATGATCTTGTCATTCTTGCACATGGCTTGGGGACACAATTTCTGTTTGAAAGTCTAACTCCATCTACCTGTTAATTTTAATATTCACAAATTCATGTTATTATGTATGTACTTATTTGTTTTGATGTGAATCATTTTGTGTTCTTTGCTTTGCAGATAAATTCCTGCAATGGTTTCTATTGTGATTACTTTTCCCCGAATAAGGCTTATAAACCCAAGATGTGGACTGAAGCATGGACTGGCTGGTATGTATTTTATTTTTGATGATGTTAAATTGGTAATAGTCCCTATGTGAAAATAATTTTTTTGATTACATTAATGTTATTTTATAGGTTTACTAAATTTGGTGGTCCTGTACCTTACCGACCGGCCGAAGATTTGGCATTTTCTGTTGCTAAATTTATTCAGAAAGGAGGCTCTTACATTAACTACTATATGGTAAAGTGTCATAGTTTCATATATTTGCTGATTGAATATAGTGTGATAAATTAGCTTAACATGATTTTATCTATTTGTATATTTCAGTATCATGGAGGAACAAACTTTGGCAGGACAGCTGGCGGTCCGTTTATTGCAACTAGCTATGACTATGATGCACCTCTTGATGAATACGGTAAACTCACAAAATGTCTGTAAAGTCTGTTTTATATTTAATTTCATATCACTTTTATGGTGGGATGTATTTATCTTTTATGGTGTGTGTTGGTCTTGTTTGATATTTTGATGCGACAAAAGGCGGTTAAAAACCGTGCATGCATTTTATGCAGCTNCCTTCATGATATTTGAAAGTTCTCATGACATGGTTTTAAGGACTTTTAGTAGTCAGACAATATTAGTTAAAGATCCAGGCTCCAGCAATTGATATCAGTGTTTGCATGTAGAAGCTAAAAGTTAGATTAGTCAACACAGAGTATTTAAGTTATGAAAATCCTCACTCGGTAGCAAAAATCGCAGATAAGCAGATTCATAAACCCAAATCACCCCTCCCTTATACTGACAAGATTATGAAAATCATAAAAGTAAAATATCATTCGGAAACATTCAAAATATTGTTCTATAAGCCATAATTTCTGTCAAATTTAGTGTCTTTAATATAAGACAGTATATAGCTCCTTAGTGAAATCAAGAACATTTTTTTTTTTCATGTATAGGACTTTTGAGGCAGCCCAAATGGGGACACCTGAAAGATTTGCACCGGGCAATTAAGCTCTGCGAGCCAGCTTTAGTATCTGCGAATCCTGTTGTTACGCCACTTGGCAACTATCAAGAGGTTGGATTTTTTCAGTCACTCTTCTCTTATTCTTCTTATTCTTTTGTGCCATATAAAAAATTATAATCCTTAAAAAAACACTTTCATTCTTTCCATGCAGGCTCATGTGTTCAAATCAAAGTCCGGTTGTGCTGCATTCCTTGCAAATTACAATCAAAATTCGTTTGCAAAGGTGTCCTTTGGGAGTAAACATTATAATTTGCCTCCTTGGTCTATCAGTATCCTTCCTGACTGCAAAAACACTGTCTACAACACGGCAAGGGTAAGAAAGTAATTTTGTGGTCTTACCAAATGTGCTTGACTCTAAATACTAGAAGAAATCAAATATCTCCCAAAAATACTTATATCCAGTAGAGGTTTGTATTCAGCAAAGTTTCTCCTTTGGTGGATGCAAATTTGCTTAAGAGAAATCAAGTTTNGGGATAATATTAACATCCTTTTGAATATTCTTGTGAAAACAGATTGGAGCCCAAAGTGCCCAAATGAAGATGACCCCCGTGAGAAAAGGATTCAATTGGCAGTCTTACAATGAAGAAGCTGCTTCACACGAAGAAAATTCATTTACAATGGTTGGGTTGCTCGAGCAGATTAATACCACAAGAGACCACACAGACTATTTATGGTACACGACAGAGTAAGTGAACTTGTAACCTTTTTTTTTTTTTTTTTTTTTTTTTTNGATCATAATATCTCGCTTGTTCCTTTTTCTGGAATTTGACTCCCGATTTTTTATTTTGTGTCCATTGTTCAGTGTGAGAATCGACCCGCGTGAAGGATTTTTAAGAGGCGGCAAGTGGCCTGTGCTCACTGTGCTTTCTGCGGGCCATGCATTGCATGTATTTATCAACGGGCAACTATCAGGTTCGTGACGAATCGGACTAAAATCCAACAATTGTGTAACATTGTTTGATAATGAATATGTATATAGAGTTATGAAATCACAATATCCACTAGATAGCTATTTTGAAGCAAATATAAATAACAATGAGGTGTATATTTTATTATATGGGATGTTCCTTTATGCTGGACCTGTGTTTCAAATTCACTAATATTTATTGTTTTTTGTTTCTCACAGGAACTGCTTATGGAAGTCTCGAAAATCCCAGATTGACGTTCAGTGAAGGCGTGAATTTGAAAGCCGGAGTGAACAAAATTTCTCTCCTCAGCATTGCCGTTGGTCTCCCGGTTTGTTCTCTTTTCATATTCTCCATTTTTAAGGGATAATAATTGCAAAAGATGACACTTGAGGTTTAACTTTATTACATAGATATCCCACTATTACAAACACTCACTTGAGGGTATTAAATATTAATTTGCAATTTCGGGACATGTTTGAGTTCAACATATCCTCATTTTTAACTAATATAGTTATAACTTATAACACATGATATTTTCTTTATATATATTTTTTTGTGCACGTGGTTTCAGAATATAGGTCCACATTTCGAGACATGGAATGCTGGTGTTCTTGGTCCTGTTTCTCTCAGTGGTCTTAATGAAGGAAAACGAGATTTGACGTGGCAAAAGTGGTCTTACAATGTACGTTCGTTCATTCACGTGTCGTATGTGAATGAAGACTCTTCCGTTTGTCCTGCATTTACTTTTTTCTTATTTAATCATTTTTTTTTTTCTCGACAGGTTGGTCTAAAAGGAGAGTCTCTGAGCATTCATTCGCTCAGTGGAAGCTCTTCAGTTGAATGGGTCGAGGGATCGTTTGTCAGCGAAAGACAACCATTGACTTGGTACAAGGTGAGAGTGCATTTTTGCTTTATCATACATTATCATTATTATCTATCAGCTAGTTTTACCACAACATAGACTAAGACACTAGCAACTTCATAGCCTTTTGATATCTTTTTTCATTTTTTTTTTTTTAATTCATAGACCACTTTCAATGCTCCTGATGGAAATGAGCCCTTGGCTTTAGACATGAACACAATGAGCAAAGGCCATGTTTGGATAAACGGTCAAAGCATAGGGCGGTATTGGAATCAGTACAAAGCATCTGGCAACTGCGGGGCATGCAATTATGCCGGTTGGTTTAACGAGAAGAAATGCCTAACCAATTGTGGTGAAGCTTCCCAGAGATGGTAATTTTTGGCAAAAAAATAAAAACTAGGATGATAATTATGAAAACTACCTGATATTGTGCNGTATCTTTGAAAATTACAAATAACTCCCTAAGCAAGCACTTATTTATGTGCTGCAAATTAACATGCAACCCTCAAAAGAGTGCTAACTCTAATATAAATACAAATTGAAAGGATTTATTTGCAATTTTTAAATATTTACGCCTTTTCAGGTACCATATTCCTCGATCCTGGCTTTACCCGACTGGAAATCTTCTTGTTGTGTTCGAAGAATGGGGAGGAAATCCTTATGGGATTACTTTGGTCAAAAGGGAAGTTGCGAGCGTGTGTGCCGATATATACGAATGGCAGCCGACTTTAATGAACTGGCAAATGCAAGCATCAGGAAAAGTCGACAAGCCACTAAGGCCTAAAGCACACCTTTCGTGTGCCTCTGGCCAAAAGATCTCGTCCATCAAGTTCGCTAGCTTCGGGACCCCTCAGGGGTCTTGTGGTAATTTCCGTGAAGGGAGTTGCCATGCATTCCATTCTTACGATGTTTTCGAGAGGGTAATTACAATTTATTGCTTTTTCATCATTTTTTTTAGAGTTAGTTGCCAAAATATACCCTTGAGAGTCGGTCTAATTGTCATAGACCAAACATTACAAACTTCAAAATCATAGATTACATCATAAGAAACATTTTCAAGTGATTATGTTTGAAAGTGATGAGAAAAGAACCCCATTGATTCAATAATGTTGAAAGTGAATATTAGATAAATGTTAGTTAGGAGAGTTAAGTTGAGTATTTCATAAAGAAGGAAAGATAATCAAGAATGAAATGAAAAACAAAGGTAGTAAGAACAAAAATGAGTAACGGAGTTGAGGAATATGACATTATAACATAAGATATATTTTCAAGTGATTATGTTTGAAAGTGATAGGAAAAGAAAACCATTGATTCAATAATATAATAATGTTCAAGGTGAATGTTAGATTTATGTTAGTTAGGAGAGTTAGGCTGAGTATGTCATAAATAAGGAAAGATAATCAAGAATGAAATGAAAAACAAAGGTTGGTAAAAACAAAAATGAAAAAGGGAGTTAAGTAACACTTGAAAATATATTTTCAAGTGATTTAACATTTGCATTAAATATCATCGTGTCTGTATTCTTGGGTTTTGTGTGCTAAACTCCGTTTGAATTTATCTTTTTATTACAGTATTGTGTCGGCCAACCATCTTGCACAGTGCCCGTTACACCCGAGATCTTTGGTGGAGATCCTTGTGCAAATGTCATGAAGAAAGTATCTGTCGAGGCCATTTGCAGCTAAGGAAGGAGAGAACAAGTTGAAGCCAATCGATAAAAAAATATCTTGTTTGCTCTTCTGGTTTGATCTATGTCAATGTTATTGCATTGCAATATTCATCAGAACCATATTTTTCATCCGGACTTCTGGTTAGAGGTGAAGTTGTACATATAATGCAACACACCACACGACCCGAAGTCTCCTAGTACAGTATGAAGGTGGTGTAACTTTAAGGTAATGAAATATGTATATATATACCTGTTGATTTGTTCGGTTTTGTATTGCGAACTGTTGAGTGGAAGTTTTGTTGGGGGGGAAGATGAAGGCACATTGTGACGATAATATGAGTCCATGTGCGGATTTGTCCCAATTCACTTAAGTTCTTGGTTTCATATGATTTGGGGGTTTGTATGATTCTATGTGAATGTAAGAAAAGCAATTGTTCATTGCTTTTACCCTTTGCAAGTTTATCAATATATCAAAGATTTGTTGATGAAAATCTGTGTCTGCTCAAGATCTCTTGTAACTTTTACTTCGGAAACTGGTAATCATATGCGAGTCATGAGTGTATGCCGTATGGTAATGTCATGCGTATCATAAGGTTCCAAAACTATGTACAATAATCATGGAATAACAATCTAATATTTGATAGCAGCGATTATAATAGAACAATTTTAAATTAAAAAATACTTTTAAGGAGATGGCAGCGATTATCGTGAAAATATAAAATAAACTAAACTGCTCAACACAAACTAATAAAAAACATAAAAAAAAAAAAAAACTTGACTGATACCAATAGTTCCTCTTCAATTAGCTCTATGTCGAAATTGTTCAAAATCCCAGTTCAAGGAAGATCACATTTGTATACGCAAACCCCCAATAACAAAGTGAGAACATCTAATACAAGTTGGGGCCTTTAACATAAAACAGAACAGAAAATTGATGTTTTTAGCAGGCAGTGAGAAATTTACACAACTGTTCAGCTCTTAATAATCCCAATCCCGCAAAGCAAAAAGGCACCCTGATTTTTCATACTTCCCTACGAACCGTACAAAATCCCAAAGATAAACCTACAAATTTCTCCAAAATCCCGCGCAATTTATTTCACATTTCAATCAATCTTCACAGAGGAATAAATCTTCCGAACGAACCAGAAGCATGCGTAGAACCCAATTGTCCCCGTTAAGACAAAGAAAGCATACGATGCAATAAGCATGTACCCAAAGTACAGAATACCCGACACCAGCTTAGTAATCTCCAGCTTGGTAAAGAAGTAAAAAGCCGAGTAAAGGAAAAGGTACAAAGCAGACGAGCCAGCCGTGAGATACGCTCTCCACCACCAGTTATAGTCCTCACTGCACAACTGGAAATAGCATAAAACGACCGTAATCTCTGCAGATGTGACTATCAGGATCACAAAGACTATAAACAAGAAACCAAAGATGTAATAAAATTGGTTCAGCCAGATGGACGTCAGAATAAAAAATAATTCGATAAAAACAGCCCCAAATGGAAGAATGCCTCCAATTAATATAGAAAATATCGGCTTCATGTACCAAGCCTGCTCGGGAATCTGCCTTGGGATTTTATTGGTCTTGACAGGATCTTCAATAGCCGGCTTTTTGAAACCCAAATAGCTACCGACAAAAACCAACGGCACAGATATTCCAAACCATAAACAAACGAGGGCAAACATTGTCCCAAAGGGAACTGCTCCGGATGATTTTTCTCCCCAAATGAGAGCATTCAGCACAAAGAAGACGGAAAAAAGAATACCCGGGAACAAAAAGGCTGTTTTTAAGGTGATTCTTTTCCATTCGTTACCCTTGAACATTTTATATAGACGAGACGATGAGTAGCCTGCGAATATACCCATGAAAACCCACAACAAGACCATAGCTGTCATGAGCCCACCACGATTGGAAGGAGAGAGAAAGCCCAGCAAAGCGAATATCATCGTGACAAGTGTCATTCCAAAGATCTGAACTCCAGTCCCCACATAAACGCAAAGAAGCCCGGAGTTTACTGGAGCTCGAAAAATGTCCCCATGAACAAGTTTCCATCCAGTTTCTTCCTGAGCTTCATCTTGGGTTTCCAGTTGGTTATAGTTGGCGATATCTTTGTATAGGGTTCTCATCATAATCATGGCAACCATACCGGAAAGGAAGAGGACGATCATCAAAGAGTTTATGATTGAAAACCAGTGAATTTGATCGTCATTCATTAAAAGGTAGGTATCCCACCGTGAAGCCCACTTAATTTCACTTTCCTGAGACAATAAAATTGCGCCGTTATTATTGTGGGACCAGCATAAAGGTCATGGCTAGGGCTGCAAACGAGTCGATCCGAGTCGAGCATTAGCTTTATCGAGCAGGATTGGTTTTTTTTTTTTTAGCTGCTCGAGCTAGATTTATGAGGCTCGAGCTCGACTCGATTAAAAGAAAGTACAATCGCTCGAGCTTGACTCGAAATCAAAATGCTCGAGCTCTGCTCGACAATTTTTAAGTGGAAAAGTAAAATTACCATTAAGCACCTATGCTATACTATTGTAATATATATATATATATATATATATATATATATATATATAAGGGATATTTTAGTAATTCAACATATATCTCGAGCTGCTCGACAATGCAAAATATGGGCTCGCGCTCGACTCGAGTTCGGTCAATCTCGAGCTTGAATCGAGCTTTGACTCGAGCACTCGTGAGCCGCTCGGTTCATTTGCAGCCCTAGTCATGGCCAAGGGAAGTAATGTTTGAGTTACAAAAGGTTGACCTTGAAAGTAACATCGTAAGTAAATACAATATCTTTGTCTTTATCCACTTCTTGTGGAACGGTGCTCCCCTGAACCAAATTTTTGGTGTTCTGGTTGCAGGTAGGGACATTGGGGTTCTTATCATCATGGAGTATGCTGTTGGCACAAATTAAAGTGAATTCCAGATGGAAACAGGAAAATATTGGATCAGTTTACAAGTTACTAACCGGAAACCTTTTCAAATTTGATATGCAACATGACAAACCTGACTGGAGAAACTTCAAACCCCACTATTCTGGCAGAATCAGTTTCGGGATCTTTGTGATACATAACTCTGAAGCTTAAATGGTTGTGAATAAAATATTTCTCCTCCTTGCTCTGGGGAAAAAAAAATACATACATTGAAACACTTGAGACATACATATAACATATACCAGACAAGGATGAAAACACAAACCCGTTCGTAATTTCCCTTGAACCCAACACGAAAGCCATGCTCATAAGTTGTTGATACGATTCCATCTCTCCTTTGCCTGAGCACCGCCACTGGAAGGTTATCTAAAATCCTGCATGTAATTTTAAGGTTTAGGACAGGTAAAAACAATCGTGAACTTTGCATGACACATGCATATGACAACACAACAATATTATTATTGCAAGGTTAGCTATGCCATGAAACAAAACAATGGCTACAGCACATACATATTAGCTCTGTATTCATCATCAATTTTTTCCTTGAAGTCCTTTGCAGCTTGGTCATCAAGATGAACTTTGCACGCCACTTTGCAAGACTGCTCTTCCCTCATATGAAACTGGTTAACCCAATTCAAAAGTTCCATAAGAAAAAGATACATGACAAGTAATGAATGGACTTAAAGTTGAAAGAGTCATGTACTCGTGGGGGCTTACAACATAAACTGAATTCTCTATACGGTCACCTCGAAGAACCTCTCCCAGGTTTTCAGCAACATTCTGGATTTTTTTTGGCTTGCAGTATTTCAAGAAATAGAAGTCATACGGGAGTTGTGTCTTGGTAGAAGATAACTTGTTGACTTTGACTTGAAGTTCATCCCCCTGTTATTAGGAAGAAATGAGTATTATGATCATGGCAAAGCCATCTTTCACGGAGAAAGAAGAAACTGTGAAAATAACAAATTTGAAGACAGTTAGTAGTAGCTCCTTAAGCAAAGGGGACAATTTAAGAGCAACATCATGCCTTACAATCATTCTTAACCAAGTGAACGCAAATCTTGAAGAAAAATATTAGTTTCAAAGTTACACTCTGCATCTTATAAAAGGATCGCACAAATCCAGTATATGAGAAATGGCCTACAGATCACATTTGTGTAATACATTCGAATTAGTTTCATGAATCAGTATAGATAAGTGGTGCAAAAGTTCCAATCTTTCTTCAAACGTAGCTACAGAGTACAGATCACTTCAGCTTCTATGCAACTTTGACAGATACACGCCCCATCACACATTATCTTTAAATGTGGATTGAAAATCACAACAAACTAATCAATCAAAGACAATATTACCAGAACCCAAAATCGAAAAACAAAATACAAGTCAATCCCGAACTACGAATAACAGTGAAAAACACCAGATCGACCTCAATTAGTAAAATTACCAATTAACTCAACGTGTAAACCCTAGATCTCCATCCATCACCCAAAACCCATAAATTTCAGAATACCAACTACTAGATCTGATCATCAGAGGTTTCCAAGATTCAGATTCCTCGAACCTAATACTATGAACTGAGACATTGTCAGTGAGGAAAAAAAAATTACTCTTTGAAAATCGCGCGGGGCAACTCCAGGAAGATAGAAAGAGTGTCCGGACGAGAATAAGAGGAGCAAGCACACAACCATGGCAGGGACCCGACCCGAAGCCAGACGACCCATTCCGCTAGATTCGGGTATTTTATCTCTCACTGTAAACAGAGGAAAAACGAAGACACCGCACAAAAGCGAGTGAAGGTACGTACAGAAGGGGTTTTTATTGCCTATTTGATCTGAAGCTGTGGGAGAAGCATTTTATTATTATTATTTTTTTTCCTAAAAGGTAAAACACGAAAAATTCGCTAATAAGAGACATGCGTTGCGAGGATACTTTCGATTTTTTACACTTGCCACTTACGCATGAGTGAGCAACCACCTTTAAACGAGTCGAGACAAACTGAGTCGATTTTCAACATATGAATTTCAAATTTGTACTCGAGTTTTTATCGAGCCGAACTCTTAAATTAGATTGATCTCAATATTAACGAGTTAAATTTGAGTCTAAATGAACTTAAATAAGACAAATTTTTAGAAACTTACATAAAATCTTATTTTTGAGTTTTAATGAGTCGAGCTTGTCTCAACTTGTTAATTAAACGAATTCGAGTGCAAATAGCTTATCAAAGAAGTTGAGCCAAGCTCTATAAGTTGAGTCGAGCTCATGGGTGGCTCAAATTATTTAACAATTGTGCGTGAGTGAGTTGAATTATCTTATTAAATTCATAATGTTCATTTCTACCAAATGCTCATCACACACTTAAACTTAAAACAATGTAAGAGTGTAAGTTCATAAACTTTTTGAAAGATAATAACTAAAAATGAACTTTCAGTAGAGCGTCTCATTCTCCTTCAAAACTCTTTGATTAAGTAAATGTTTGACCAACAAGTACAACTAAGATTTATTCGTTAAGACTCCTTCTTGCTAACCTACTTTGTATTCCACCTATCTAACTATTCTTTTGGCCACGACATCGTGGACTTAGATTGCACACATGGATCCCTCTAAGCGGTATGAAGATATTCGTCCCAAGCACCAAGTAAAACAAACAAAGTATTCTTCAAATTCCAAGTGATAAACCGACACACGGGAATCCAAACTTTAAATATAAAATAAAACAAATTCACGGGTTCTCTACAATATTATCTTCAATCATTCAATATGATTCACTCGTGTATCTCTTCAGTAGAAGTCGTGACCAGAATAGCTAACTATATACTTACTCTATGTAGGTTCAAACAAGCTTCCAAATCTTCACGATATTCTCGTTCTTCTTTAGAAACCGAATCCTCATATCTCGGTAAACTCCATGCACACGTAACACGTCCATGTTCCAATATTTTAACGTGTTTTATCTTTCCACAAATATGGAACAATATTGATTTGTTTTCCATTCAAGTATCAACATATCTTCTTGTTTGATCATTTTCTTCTTGACTTGAGTCTACTACTTACAATCTTCCAATTTCATCCATTTTCCTAAGGGTTAAACAAAGGTAAGGATATAATTATCTTATGGAAGATTTTAGATAAAGGATTTTCCCTCTTCATTCAAGCAGTAATTCTAAGTAGCGTTGTTAAATTAACTGGCTCGACTCGAGCTCTAGGCCTTAACGATCCGAGCTTGGCTCGGCTCGATAAGTCTCGTTAAGGCTCGAAAAGATATTTTTTATATAATTTTTTATAGTTCGACTCGTTAAAGCTCGAGATCGGCTCGGTAAGGTTTGTGCTCGTGGCCTTAACGAGTCTAGCTCGAGCTCGATTTCTGGCTCGTCAAGGGCTCGAGCTCAAGCACCCTAAGCTCGAACTTGGCTCGATTCATTTATAGACTTTTAAGTTACTTATTTTAAGAAACACAAATAAGATAAACAATTACTATTTTCCATCAATGACAAATACAATTTTCTTATAAATTTAATGATCACTAGTTTTTAAACGGTTTTGCTATGAAGCCAACAATTGACTCGTGGAGCCAACCTTCTATATACAACAAATAAACCTACCATATTAATAAAATTATGTTAGTGATATTTGAGTAATCAGAGAATATGGTAGGTTTATTTGTTGTATATAGAAAGTTGGCTGTGGGCTTCATAGCAAAACCGGTTTTTAAAATGATCACATCTTTTTAACTGAACAACAATTAATGTTCATAAAATATTAATGGTCTTCCAAATGAGTGCTTAACTAGATTTTAATTGTTTTTATTATTATTATTATTTTTTTTATTATTTGATTCAACTGAATATTTATTGGGTCCTATTTTATGTTTATTATTTTTAAGTGATTTCTTTTTTCCTTTATTTCTTTCTTCTCAACGTCAGATTTTATACCAGAATAAACTGAAAGCTAACTAGGCCTTAATACAAATGAAATTGTACAAAGAGCCAACATACAACAAGCCTATACCAAAACAACACAAAAGCTGGGGACCCCAACAAAACATCAACAGCAAAGATGATAACTAATCCACTAGGCAGTGAATAAAAACTGAAACATGTAGATATGCCATCACCTCTACTGAAGATAACCAAAAAAATTTTATGGGGGCTGAGGTTCAATGGCCATCGGTAGAGGTATTAGGATAGCTGGTTTTGAACAGGAGTTTTCAAAATCCCTTTT